GTATCGCCAAATTCTTGCCAATACACAGCCCTACTGGTGATGTTACGTGCTGTCTGAAGACGTAGAAAAAGAAATGCAATTCTCTTTGTGTTATGGGAACAAAGGATCAGCTGATCTATCGTGTGAGGTAAATGTTCGCTATGTCAGAACTTATTCGGCAAATGTGTTGCCATCTCCCATCTGGCACATTACCTCTTTTTCCGAAAATCCCAAAACCACCTCAAGTGAGCGCAAAAACTGTTGAGAAATTTTGCCACTTCCATCAACCTTTTCTGATGTGTTAATTCAAAATATGTATAAAAAAACGTTGATGGAAACACGGTTACATATGAGCAGATAACACAAATCAGCTTTTGACACACACACATACAATGGAACAAGAAATGTTTACCATTTCTACTATATATAAAGCTGATTTCTGAAGACACATGACAGAACGCTCATGTGTCCATCTATTGGCTAAATCATCTTACGGCTTGTCAGACACCTTTTCAAAGGGTACAACAGAACACATGCRAGCATACCTAGTTTCTCGACAAGTTTGAGCATAACTCCACCGATGTGGATTTCCCCAGTGACCCTCAGAGACACGTCCCTGTTGAGGTCGGTCACATGCATCTTCAACTCCCATGTCCCATCAGCGTAGCAGCCATCGGGCATCCGGATCCCATCCAGTGCCATCCTGCCAAACAAAACAACAAAGAAATTCATAGAACTGTAAAAATATATATTTTTTTTCTTTAGTATCTAACATTTCCTCTGATAAAATGTTTATCCATAAAATGACAAGCTATAGAGGTTTTCTGAGTAAGTCCCACTGGAAAGAGGTCCCGGGGCAGACCCAAAACCTGTTGGAGGGATTATACATCCTCTCTGGCCTGGGAATGCCTCAGGGTCCCCCAGGAGGAGCTGGAGAATGTCGCTGGGAACAGGGATGTCTAGCTTTATCTCCTAGACCTGTTGCCCCTGTTATTCAACTATGGATAAGCRGTAGAAGACAGAGAACAAGATAACAAGATACAAGATAACCTTAGCATTAACAAGTCAAAAGACCAAATTATTGAAGAATTTTTACTGAAGAACTTTTATCTCCACTGGGGGGAAAAAACGTCTTGTATGAACCCATTCCATGATTTAAAAAAAAAAAGGTTGGAGACTGTAGATTTATGGCATGTGAAGATGTCCTAAAAGGGTCTCATTACACAAGAAAGTATGTGCTACACACTGAAGGAATTTCAATTACATAAGCATTCAGAATAAAAATAAAAACGTTAATATTAGTTATCAAGTTGCAATATAGTAAATACAGAATCAAACGTTTTAGGTGCACTTGAAATTGTAGATTAAATGAAAATTGTTAAGTAAAAAACCGAAAAAGGAAATTATTTTTTCAGAGAAACAACAAAAAAAATGCAGGATATATATA